ATTCTAATAAAGTTAAGTGTTTGTGAACAGAAAAAATACCCAAGATTAAATTGCGCAGAAAATAAAATGGCAAACTTCATTTTAGATTTTTTTTCTGACCACCAGTGGCTGCTCGTACTTAGGTTGCACAACCCCTAGATAATCGAATAAGATCTCATAATATCTTAAGAATATTCATTTTCTTTTTATCAACATGAAATATTCATGATTTTACAGCAATGACAATGTATATGAAATCATTTTAAAACCAAAGAGCATCGAACTGACGCTTTCTGCGGTGCCTAGTGCCCTGTCGCGTATCGCACCATGCTCTTGTTTATGTTACTGGATTTACTGCATTTATTCTGTTGCCCTTCGATTTAACAGGTCAAACATAAGCCTTTTTGGTTGGGCAACCAGGTGGGTGGCGCTGTCTAGCGCTGCGCGGCAATCGAGGGAGTCCCAAGGGAATCCCAATATTTTGCCGACGTCTGAGTTAATGGCATATGACAAGCTCTTTTCCTTCTCACTACTACTTACGCAGCATGGAGAAAGTATTGTAATGCTGCGGGGAAAGTGGCGAATTTTTGACAGAAAACTCTCATTGCCTGGTAACGAAAAAGTGGTTAAATCTTGTCCCTATGTATAGTAAATTACTTCGTCTAACACGTTGTATTGTAAGAATCCATGTTTTGTGAGTCCTTTATACAGAACACTCGATTGACAAACCGCCTGTCCGCCTGTAAACAACACTAGCGGCTAAAGCGTAAGCAGGATTTTCGCGAAAATTCGTATTCCGAAATCGATATTGATGATGTCGTGGCCTCTTGAATTTGAAAGCGAGATTTTTATTTTCTGGTGGGGAGGGGGTACTTTACATGAAACCCCTGGGGCAATTTCAAAATTACAAATAAAAGGCACCTATTGTTTTAAATATATTTTGTCCTCGGATGGTGTAAAGGACTCTTCAATGAATGCTGTAGGTCCCATTTTCGTTGAAACCCTTGGTTCTCCGAAAATTGCAACAGTTCACATTTTTTCGGGGTCTTCTTACAACTACAATTATGAATATACATTTTTTTGTCTTAATGAAATGTGTTCATCATAAACATCTTGAAGTAAGATCATATTGAATTTTTGGAAAATGTGAGTGTTTTTGCTTAGTTTTGAAGGATGGATAGGTCATTTTTCCTATTTAAACAATTACTTTCTCAAAAACGGTTGCAATTTTTTTCTTTAATTTTTTTCCCACGTATGTAGCAAAAAACGATAAAGAAAGTGGTGCTGGTCCCATTTTCTGCACACTATCTGTATTTTCGATTATTGAAAAAAAAATTGTAAGAAATTTTAAGTTCGAATATCCGTGTTTCGGTCTCTTAAATTGCTGGTAAATTATTGAAAACAAGAAATCCAAACACTACACCTCTACATCCATCACCTTTCTTTAAAAAACTCAGCTTTCTAGCATTGACATCACAGAAACAACAGAAAAAGGAAAATACTTCAAATTATAAACAAAATGCAAAATAAACAATCCGCTGGATAGACCACATTCGCAGACTTATATTTAAACAAACAATCACTAACTCATGGCCCCTCTCTAAACATATTTAAAACTGCTGTATTAAACTATAACACAAAAAAGGTAAACACAAGATGTAATGAATTATAGGCCAATTCACTCTTGTCAGGTTTTTTTCAAAAATATTAGAAAAACCGTTCTATGAAAGATTAAAAAATACTTCATACACTGTAACATTATCACTGACTCACAACATGGATTCAGGGAAAATCGTTCAACTAAAACTGCTCTATTCACCGTTGTAAATGAAATCCTCATGGCATTAGAGCAAAACGAAATTCCTGTTGGTCTCTTTCTCGACCTGTCAAAAGCCCTTGACATGATAGATCACACAATTCTATTGACAAAATTAGAATCTTATGTAACACGAAGAATTGCTTATAATTGGATAAAATCATACCTATCAGACAGAAAACAAATTGTAGTATTACCTTACCAAAAAGACAACAAAATAAATAACCATCACTCCGAGCCAAGAGATGTGACATATGGGGTCCCAGCAAGGATCCACACTAGGCGATTTTACTTCTTATATTTGTAAATGACCTGCCATCAATAATGCAAAAAACAACAAAAACCGTACTTTTTGCTGTTGAAACTATATGTAATATTCAAAGAAAGAACAAGCAAAGCTTTGCAAAGACAAAGCCATTCAGCCATAGACAACTAGTTCAATGGATCCACCATAACAAACTAATCCTAAACCGAGACAAAACAATCACAATACCCTTCCACACCTCCCACTCAACACAACAATACTCGCCAAATTAACATCAGAAGGAAACATCATCACACAAGCACAGAAAACAAAATTTCTCGGAATCACCATACAATGTAACCTCAAATGGAACTCACACATAGAAGATATTAATTTAAAATTGAGGAAACTTAATTAATCTCTTAAAATAATAATAAGAAACAGCACCATTGAGATAGCATGAAGAGTGTACTTTACAAATGTGCACTCTATTTTCAAATAAGGGATAATAATATGGGGCCAAGAACCAGAGGCTAAACAAACATTCAAAATACAAAAGAGAATCATTCGAACAATAACAAATACGAAAAGGACAGAGTCCTGCAGATCTCATTTCAAAAACCTCAACATACTTCCACTGCCTTGTATTTTTATTTATGAAGTTATGTTTGTAAAGAAAAATCTAGTAAACAATGACACACTTTACAAATTTAACTCAAGCTTACACCCCTATAACACAAGGCAAGCATGTAACCTTCATCAACCAATGTACAAGCCCATTATATCAAAAAAGTACGTTCTCCTCTGGTATACAATTCTTCAAGAAATTACCAATACATTGAGAAACACGACATGCTTGTACAACGGCAAGAAAAAAACGTTTCCTTGGGGGAAACCTTTTTTATAGCGTTAAGGAATACCTCAATGACTAACACGTGCAATGTGATTTCAGGTGCTCCAGTAGGACTAGGTGTAGAAATATGAAAAAATCTGGCCATAGCCTGCCTCCTCTTCCCCATTTCAAGATTTAATCAAAGAATATGCTAATACTGTTAAATCAGATGTAGCTGTTATCATAATTGTTATCATGTACTGTTAGTATTACTATTATTATTTTATAAGTAATGTTATTTATTATTATTATTATTATTATTATTATTATTATTATTAAAGTAGTAGCAGTAAAATCACTATACCAAGAAATTGATATTTTGAAAACTGACATGGTATAAAACTTGAAATGTTAAAGTATTCTAAATTATATTAAAGTAAGTCAAATGTTCAACTAATTGCTACTACAAATAATTAACTACTATGTAATATCTTAATATATTTGTAATAAGTATTGTAATATAATCTCTAGGACAATGACCCCATCTTGATCAGGTTTTTTTGTCCAGTTTCCCTGGTCCTTTGAGCAAATACTGAGATTGCCCCTTGTTTTGTTTCTGAATAATAAAAATAAATGTAACTTCTCTCGCTGCTCCCGAGATGTATGCGATTGTACTCCCTCTAAATATATCATATTTGACTCGTCATAAACGATTGTAATTGTATATGTGACTCAATAAATATTATTATTATTATTATTATTATTATTATTAATCGTTTGATGCTCTGTCAGTTCAACAAACTCTGCCAACAACTCTCCGCTTTCTGCTAGAAATTTTAAGATAAGCCTAAAGTTTTCAAGCCATTTTTCAACCATATTAATTCTTGTAACTTGAATGTTTTCTACATAACTTCATTAAAATGTAGATTTTTGAATGATTCCGTGCTCTTTATTTTAATCAGGCGTCGGCGTATTTGCTTAACTCCTCTCCGTGAAGTCACGGAAATTAATCAACTCGAGACACCACGGATTCAAGGACGGGTGGCTGTTTAGGAACCCCTGTTACTACGGGGTCGGTGCCGAGCCCCTGGTCGAAGGAATAAAAGACATTGACTGAATGCGGCATGACGAGATAGTGATAAAATACAGGACGGAGGATTACTCCAGATCTGTATCCGGCTGAAAATGTCTTACCAGTTCGTGGCGCCCTCCATTGGTAATGCTGGAATTCAATAGGGTGTTGGCCCACCCTTAATTTGATGACAGCTTCCACTCTCGCTGGCATACTTTCAATCATGTGCTGGAAGGTTTCTTGGGGAATGGCAGCCCATTCTTCACGGAGTGCTGCACTGAGGAGAGGTGTCGATGTAGGTCGGGGAGGTCTGAGGGCGGCGTTCCAAAACACCCCAAATGTGTTCGATAGGATTCATGTCTGGACTGTGTAGACCAGTCCATTACAGGGAAGTTATTGTCGTGTACCCACTCCGACATAGGTCGTACAGTATGAGCAGGTGCTCGTTCGTATTGAAATATGCAATCGCCATCCTCGAATTGCTCTTCAACAGTAGGAATCAAGAAAGTGTTTAAAACATAGCGTGCCACACAAAACAAGGGGTTCATCCCCCTCCATGAAAAACACGACCACACCATTTTGGATGTGTCCGGATATTTTTGATCACATAGTGTACTCTCCATGCCCAAGGACTGAGAGACATGTTGCAAAAGTCGCAACATTCCTTTTTATCTGATAATTTTTTAGTAATAACACTAAGAGAAGGAAAAGTTTTGGTGTGTCGCGCATTCCCATAGTTTTATTTGAGTATTCGTTGAGAAATAAAACTGAGGAGGAAGAGTTCCGAAATGCTTCCCCACTACTTTGAAATAATCAGTGAACAACAGTATAATTTCTAGATCTTATCTCATAGTTCTCTTTATTTCCTTTTTTATCACTAAGCCTCAAAAAATTATGAAATAACAGAGCATTGTGAGCTACGTTTTTTGTAACAGGTACAATTATAAAAGTCGGCATAATATCAAATTTATATCACGCGCTGTGTGTTTGGCTCAGCAATTTCAGAGAGATTCGAGTGGAAATGACAGTGAAACCAACATTACAGAACGACCAATGAAGGTGTTGCAGTTGGTACACGTTCGTTCACCGTAAAGGCGCGCTGCGAAATTCCATTTATTGCGACAAGATAAGACATGTCGTGATTTTGTATGTTATAATTCTGAATTTTTTTCCTGGGATATTAGTAACAATGAGTTCTGTAGATAAATCATGTTCTTGTCCAGTGTGCTTTAAAGTATTTACGGATAGAGAGATTGAAGATCATGTAAATAGGTGTCTTTTCCTGAATTCTGAAAAAGAAGGATCACCGACGAATAAGAGATACGATAATTTTCCTAGCCCACGCACAAAAAGGCAAAAAATACCACAGCCAAGTACAAGTAATTATGAAATCCATTCAGATCAGGTAAGGATGTGGTTGATAGAATTTATTTCAATTTATCCTGTCAAATTGTAAATGTAATACCTATGTTATAGCATGAAGTAGCTTCTACTGTTGGACGCACAGATTCTGCCCAGAACACTGATAACAACATTCCTCTTGCTGAACGTATGCGGCCCAAAGACCTTTCCAGTTTTGTTGGCCAGGAACACATATTAGGCCATGCAAAAGCTTTACGCACATTGCTTGAAAAGAGTGATGTTCCAAACATGATTTTGTGGGGACCTCCAGGATGTGGAAAAGTTTGTTATTCTTTAATTTTAAAACTTAATTATTTTCATTGACTGGATATGTAAAATGTTGATTCCTTTATTATGTTTTAGACCTCTCTGGCTCACATAATAGCCAATCAGTGTAAGCAAAATAGTAATCGCTACAGATTCGCAAAATTATCAGCTACAATGGATGGTATTGATAAAGTAAAAGAGGTTGTCAAAATTGCAAAAAATGAATTGACATCTTTCAAACGGCGAACCCTTCTCTTCGTGGATGAAATTCACCGGTTTAATAAACTACAACAGGTACACAGTATTTGTGATCAAATATTTTATATATTATTGATGTGAGGTTACAGTTCATATTAATTTCCTTTGTTGTAGGATGTTTTTCTTCCTCATGTGGAGAGTGGTGTGATCACTTTAATTGGTGCTACAACAGAAAATCCATCCTTCAGTTTAAATAATGCTCTGTTGAGTAGATGTTGTGTTTACGTGATGAAGAAGCTTGAAACTGAAGATATAATGAAAATCATACAACGAGCCTTAACAGTTATTGGTGTAGCTGTAGCAAAAGCTGGGAAGGAAGAACATAGAGTAGATCCACTCTCTTGGTTGGTTCTTTGGATATTTGAATAATAATAATGTGTCCTATTTCCTTGTTGAGAATTTCGTAATTCAGTTCAGATCATTTAATTAGATTTAGGAAATGAAGGCATTGCGATTAAATTTGTATTCTGAAGTGCAAAGGTTTCCTGGATTGATTGTAAATGAGTACTGTTCATAGTCTACTTTGTACCCTATTCAACTAGTGATTTGCATGTGTATGTAAATAAATTCTTATTTTCTTTTACCTGTGTAGTCTTACAACCAGACAAAGTGTATTAGCAATCTAAGAGAGGCAAAGTTTTGGGTGTTGCATTTCGAGTTCTTTTGAAAGTAGGACATCTTTATGTGAATAAATATTTGTAAATTTTTTTGTTATGGAAATGTAAAGAAATTTATGTTAATTAAAAGCCTAAAAAAAGTATGTACAAAAATAGATCACTGTTGCATATTTCAATACTGGTGTGATCCTAGGGCTGTAATGGATGATCAATCTATCTTGTGGATGGCAGAGCTGTGTGATGGTGATGCGAGGATTGCTCTCAATAGCGTACAGCTTGCCCACAACATTCTGCGTCAACGAAAAGAAGAAAATCCTGGTATAGTGTCTTTGTCCCTAGATGAAGTTAAAGATTGCATTAAGGTAATTTTTCAAATCCTAATATTAGATTTTCAATTACATTATTGAATGGTCCCTAATACAAAATTCCTCCTTTCAGCGCTCACATATTTTGTATGACAAAAAAGGAGATGAACATTACACCATCATCTCAGCACTGCACAAATCTATCCGTGCTTCGGATGATAATGCTGCCCTTTATTGGTTGACACGAATGTTGGCTGGAGGAGAGGATCCAATCTTTATTGCTAGGAGGCTTGTAAGAGCAGCAGGGGAAGATATAGGTAATTTTGTGATTTGGAAGTTTGGAAAAAAAAATTTCTGACAATTTAGATTGAGGAAAACAGTGTCAATTAGTTTTAGTAGTATTCAAGAAGGCTAGAAGTTGTAAACCATTTTAATGTGGGTAAAAGGGAACTTCTAGTTGAGGAAGATGTGTCTAAGCCTGTTGTTTCATAATGAAAAATAATTAAAATTCCACAGAATGTCACATATAACCTTTTAACTAATGGTTATAGATGATGTTACTTCATTCATTCTGTATTTCTCATTTGATTTCTTTTTCTCAAGGTTTAGCAGACCCAAGTGCCCTCCCTCTTGCTGTGTCTACCATGCATGGATGCCAGCTGTTGGGTATGCCCGAGTGTGATGTCCTCCTAGCTGAATGTGCTGTTTACCTTGCCAGGTGTGATATAACAATATTTCATAACTTTTAATTTTTAATTAAAAAGCATTGATACATGGTAAAAACATTCTATAACTGTTGTATTTGTAATATTTTTCAGTTGGCATGTGTTAAAATGTGTGATGTGCCTGAGGAAGGGAAATATTAATTTTATTTATTTTTACTTTGCTAGAATTGAAACAATCCTAAATTATCTCGTAAATATTTAGATAAGCTGCCCATATGCAGGGCAAGCCATTTGAAAATGGGTCCTTTATATATATTTACATTTTTAACATAATTAATTAGCATGTGTGATATAAATGATATTACTAACAATATCCATTCATTTATTCTTACAAGAAGCATCTATGTATTTTTTCCTGCAACTGTTGCTCTGCGTAACTCATGTATTTATTCATTATTATAACAATATCCTTTTTATATCAACATTATCGTATTGGCAGATGTTTATTGTTCAACCTATTATGAAATACGACTGACTAACACTTTGTCGTATGCAGATGGGATCAGACATTTCTGGAAATTTCATCTACTGAAAGAATTGTTTGATTGATTGCAAACTACTATCAATTAATTAGCTTTTTATTTTTTTTCAAAGAAATAAATATGATATTTATTTAGTTATTTAAATAATAACATATTAAATTATGAGTTCATTTTAGGCTAATGTTTCAGTTTGATATTTAACAGTTTTGTGCAAAATTTAATTAAATTGTGTATCATTGCTTATGTATCACCTTCATGTGCACCTTATGTCTTCTCAAATGAATCCGGTGGTAGAAAATTGTTGTGCCCCTTGATGTCTTCTTTCTTCCTAAGTCTCATGCTATTACCTACTTCGCCATTATTAATCCAACTTCTTTTAATCCTTATAATAACTACGAGCTTCTTCCTAATCTATATATTATCTGACAAATCACTTATGTTGCCTACTATTTGAATGTTGAATTCATGTGTTGTTGTCATTCTAATTCTTAATATTATTTTCACTCATAATCAAAAATAGCAATAAATAATACTATTCCTCTCCTAAATTTGACATTATGTTCTTGCGACCCCATCACACCAATATCTGTCACTGCTTCCCTCACCTAATGCAAAGACTAGAGCATACCTCAGAGCATACAAAACAATGCGTTCAACATGACTGACAGTGGAATAAAGGACAGATTCTCTGTTGTCTGACCATGACTACACCTTCTATATATGTAATTTCTTTTATCTACAAAGGGCTTGCCCCTTCCCTCTATGCAGAATATTTGAATAACTGTGTACATTCACATTCCTCATGAGTATTGCTTATTTTTATCCATTCCCATAGGAACTCATCCAATTCGCCTAAATCACCATTCTGGTTATTTAAATAAACTACAATAAATCTGACTTTGAATGTTTATCTTAATATGGGGGATTCATTTGGCCTAGTATGATTGTTAGTGCATTACTGAAACTGCTAGTTTATTATACACTATGTCTCATAAGAAATGAAATGTCAACTAATACAAATGATTATATTAAGTGTAGTATCACTACATTGCAAGACGTATGTTGATTACTACATACTACTAGCGTTCTTTCTAATCTGGTAGCCAAGATCATTAAGTCATGCCTTAGCATAGCTGCCTTGTCATGAAGAATTGCATGTTCAAATCCTGCCTCAGGTGCCCAAATACCTCATATCAACTTTCAATCATCTTCCTTCAATTTCTTGTTGGCCTGGGCTCTTGGGCACATGCACTCGAGTATATGTTACATCAAGGCAGAGGGCTTCAGTGTCATCTAAGGCATGGACTTTTCTCCCACCCACCATGATCACCTTTCAAATCCTCATCCTTCCATTTCCAGAATGAGGGGTACTGTCCCTCGTAACTGTGCAGCTGAGATGGGCCTGTAGGGCGCTTCAGCATTACTGTAACCATTTGTGATTAAGATGGTCATACAGACCACCTCTGACAGTTAAGGAGCAAGACTCTCCCATCCCAGCATTTTCAAAAAGAAATATGCGACGGGGAATCCCTAAAACCCACAGAGAACAGGAGGTTTATGGTAAGCTAGGATTGTTGGGTTGACTAAAGAGCTGAAAGTTTAAACGAGATCTTATCTACAATATAATTCAAGTAATCTACTTTGGGGGAAAATGTATAACATAACTTTATACGAGTTGGTGTATGTTAATGTGTCTCAATGCCATTATTATTCAGGGCTCCTAAGTCAACTGAAGTATATAAGGCTTTGGGCAGAGCAAAATCATTAATCAATGAGCAGAAAGGTGCTCAGCCAGCTGTTCCTCTCCATCTTCGTAATGCTCCTACCCGGCTTATGAAAGATCTAGGTGAGTTAATTTCCAACAGTTTTATAGTGAAGTAATTGTTTTGCATGGAATCTTCTTTTGACAAGTGAAAAGTGAAAATCTCCAATAATTGAGCTGAATTGATATATCAGTATGCAGGCATGAAGTTTATTTACTAATTATTTGAAGTCATACATCAGCTACCATTTATTTCATATTCCTAACTAATTCTGTCCATTTTCAAGAATTGTCTGTTGTTTTTTTAGGATATGCAAAAGGTTACAATATGTTACACAAAGATGAGTCCAACTTGCAATACATGCCTGAAGGATTGGAAGATGTAAACTTTTTTTAAACTTCACTGATGAAGAGGGTAGTGCAGGGAGATCATAGATTATTAATTGTATGTATATATTTCAATATATGACTTAAAAAGTATATAAATATCAGAAATAAGTGTAAATTTATGTACATTTCCTTAGCAATATATTCAACCAAAAATTCTCCTACAGCCATAACATACAGACACAAAAAAAAGTTGTTGTTTTTTGTTAAAGTCACTTCACTTGAATCAAAGATTTGAGTTCTGTTTTCATTTGTGTAATTTGCGCCTCAGTCAGCGCAGTCAGTGGTGGGCGAGGTCTCCCCACGTTAATAGGCGTTATCACATTCATTGCAACTTTCATTGTTGCCACCCATCCACCTAAAATAAAAAATAAATATTTTTAAGCTTTGTACACGTCTTCAAAAGATAGGCATTTTTGTTGTGTTATTACCATTTCTTGTCATGATACGAATTAGCTCATTCAACTTGATCTGCTGATCTCGTGCATCTTTATTGCTATTATTCTTTATAGCAGCTAAGATTTTGTGAGATGGATCTGGTACCATATTTAAAGTTGTTGCTATTGCAGAGTCAAAGCCCAGAACAAAAGCTCCTGCCAGAACCTGCAATCAGTGTGATAAATACATACGTTAATATTATTGCTAATATAATCTACCAAAATAAACATTTGAAAATTAATTAAGCCAATAAACCCCCTCCCTTCTAACGTAAATTAAAAAAGAAATCCAAGAGCAAAACTGACCTCATCACAACCTAGAAACATGCTAATGTCTCCTCCATTCACTTTCAAGCAGCGTACACCTTCTTGCAGATCAGTGTGAGTGTACTTTGCACCTGCAAATGATGGAATTTTTGCAGAAGCAGCTGCCAATACCTTTGACATTTCCACTGAAAAATTTTGAAATGTTATTAATTAGAGAAATATAAATATTACAAATTATTCATGTTGGGCCACATTTATTACAGTTAACTCCTGTGTATCCAGGTAAATGGTAATAAAGTAGTGGAGTCTTCGGAGCAGCTGATGCTACTATTCCCAAATATGTAACCAATTCATCCACAGTGGCTGGCTTGTTAAAGAGATCAGGAAGGCAGAGGAGACTATCTACTCCATGTTCCTCACAATGTTTAGCCTGGAAATAATTTGGAATCTTGGTTATCGGAAAATACTATTTCCATTTTGTGCAGGTTACATTTTATTGCAAAGTAGAAGGAATATGACATAAACAGTAAAGTTTGAAAAATATATAGAATTTTTACCAATTCTTGAACATCTTTGAGACAAGCTCCTCCAACCTGTACCATCAGAGATTGTTTTGTTTCCTTCACTGCTTTTGCCCATACTTCTGTAACTGCTTTTCTCTCCGATACTGTCATGGACATTCCTTCCCCGCTCGTTCCATTAACTGAAATAGAATGTGCAGGGAAAAATGTGTACATTTCAATTTGCCAAATATTCATTGAAACAAATTATTTATTTTTTCTCACCCAGAACTCCCAAAATTCCTATGCTTTTGAGATATTTGGCATATTCTGGAATAATATCCAAGTTGACAGTCTGATCCCTATGAAAATAGAATAAATTGGTATTACATTCCGGTTTAAAATTTAAATAGATGCGGAGATCACGGCTTAATAACTTTCACCTGTCATCGTTGAAGGGCGTGAGAACCGGTGCCATCAAACCACTGAACTTTAGTTTCTGTGTGTCACAAAGTTAACTATTAATATTCTTGTTTGTTATTTGATTTGTTTTTATTTAGAGAATGTGCATCTTACCATTTTGCTTCGCTTTTGTATGGATGCGTGCTATTCCTCCAGTTAGCGACAAACTACTGAGAGGTTATGATTACCGATGAACGTTGTTATGAGAAAGATAATATCCAAGGTTATCTGACACCGCTCCTGCTCTTGACTTGTATTGAAGAACAAACATCATTAAATAATGTCACCTCAGTTGGCATATCAGTTAATTCTCATAAGACAGATTTGAGCAAGTGTTATCGTAATGCACGCAATCTGATAGCGGGAGGCGTGTCTTTTTCGTTAGAGCAGTTCATTTCCAACCAGTTTCCACCCTGGAACAGTCAGTCACAGTATTCATTTGAACTTGATAATTAAGTATGTGCAGTGAGACAAAATATCAGGAAGAAAACGTTCGTACTATAACTTTCTCGTACCAAAACGTTCATCACAGATGATGGGTTGATTAAACCAAATAAGTACTCTACTACCTAATTCTGTCTGATTTATTATTATATTTGCAAAAAAACTATTGGGTATTCTTAGTGCCCACGAAGCCATTATATTTTGAAGCTTTTTACTCAAATTTGAATTTATTTAATTAGTGAAATTAGCGTGAAAGATAATTAACTTAATTTGTGTATTAAAAGAGTTAACTATTTTAATAATTAAAATAATTTTATAACATGACCATCAAAAATATAAATGAGAAAAGAGATACTACTGAATCTATGTAAAATTATGAAGCAAAATTTAAAATTGCCAAAGTTAAAGTTGCAGAGTAATAGTTTCTCACATAGTCCTTTACCATAGTTAGGAAAGTTTTACTACAACTACTATTGTAGATAAGGAATTAACAAGGAACTGAAAGTGATGTAAATTATGTTACTTAAGGAATATTCCTTTTCACTTGTTTATCAATTTTGATTTTACTTTCTTCACATTCATCTTACTAAGAGAGATTAAATGAAGTATCATCACCGTAACTGTGCAGGTGGGCAGCCTGCTTCAAGGGGCTAGCATCTACGACTGTTCTGTTTTAAATCCTTTCAGTATGTATTTTGGTAACATACATAGTGACATGTATCCACTATCCAATTTATATATAACGAAACCTCTTTTATCGAGAGCAAATTTGTCATTGACAGAAGAACTGCAGACTTAATGGAGTAATATAATTTGTTTTATCTGTTGATGGGTGTAATATAAACTAAATTAATGAAATGTATATTGTATGTTATGACATGCAGTAAAACCTGCTCAACGTGGAATGTCAAGGGACCAAAATTTTTTTTCCCCCTTATTTGACAAGTTGCACATTATGCAATGTCAGTTGCACTGGAGAATTTGTTTGGGTAGATTGTGATATTTGTTCACGTTAGACATATTTCCATATTGGGCAAATTTTACTGAACAGTATTTTTTACATATATCTTTTTATTTACTTAACTTTTAATGACATTTAAAGCAATAAAAAACATTCATTATCTGGAATTTTCAATGGAACTCATTTCCCGCTCTTACCTTAGATTATTGAGGTTCTACTGTAGTTTTGCTTTCCACAAGCAGCAACTCCCTTGTTACTCTCATACCAACTCTTCTTCAATTTGATATTGTGTTGGAAGCAGAATCTTGTGGCTTGTTTATAAGTGTAAATCTATGTTTGAAAGTAATTTGAGTTAATTGATTGTGATGTAATTAATCCAATGAAATGTATTTAATACAGTTGACGGAACTTCAGAATATAAATTTGAATAATATAACATGTGAAATTCCCCTTTTTGTCATTCTTGTTGTTTATGGTATGAAACGGAGCTTTCTTTGACTCCTTGCCTAATTCTTGTCTTCTGCTACCAAAACATTTCTTTACTTAACATTATGAAGCCATCATGCACACAAGCAAAGGAATGAAACTGACTGATCTGCCCTGGCCCAACTCGTATGCACAACCACAACAAATATAATGTGCCAAACTGACCGTGTGCACTCAGCTTCATAAATCACAAATCTACCAGAATATAAGACAAACCCCTTAATTTTGAAGAAGCTTCAGCTATTTTTAACTAATTTTTACAATATTTAGTCAAATAAACTGGCTTGAAGAGAATGTTATGACTTATTGCTGAACTATCACTTCCTTGTTAAATATCGTATGGTTTTTGTCAGTACCCTTATAATCATATGTATCACTGTCTCTTTCTTTTTGGTCCTTTCATGCTGAAACATGACGTTTTAGGCTCCTCTGAAAATTTTGCACATTGAAGAGGTGCTCGTACTGAACAGCATAACTGATATGTGGTCTGGGGAAAATGAAGCTGGGATCTGTTATTGCCCCGAGTATCTCAATTTGCAAGGTTCTTACGTTTTTCATCAGATGCCACCTAGGAACATTTCCTTCTGTAGGTGTTGTGGTAAGATATCTTTGGCATTTTTAAAATAACTAAAGATTTTGTCAATTACAAAATCTTTAATTATTTCTTTCTGTATCGCTTGAAATTGTGTTTCTTTAACAGTTCAAAACACACTTGCTGGATGTTGAACCCTGAATCCGCATTGTATAACAAAATCTAGACATTCATTTTCAAATTACATTTCCTATGATGCAATACCATTTATGTAATAATCTTCACCGGGCCATTAAAAAATTGTCCAGCAATCGACTATGTATATTGAGAATATAATTACTTACTGTAGATAAATGCAATATTCTCAGTCTTTGCAGTTTGTTATGCCAACATTTACAAGTTTTATGACATGGAATGTAAAAACTTCAACCATAACCAACAAGGGCTTAATCTGCAAATTTAAGACAACCCTGCATTTTGCAAATGAGGGGAAAAACCTTTTTCTAAAATCCAAGTAAATGTATTAATTTCTCAATTCAATATTTTTGTTTTAATTTATTGGTGAAAAATTTAGAATTGTAAGGACACAGTATCAAAATGGACATACTTTTCAGTTAGCTGTGAAGTTAAGAGCACAACAAGCACCTTCCTTTGCAAATATTGAGCATGTCCACTATGTTCGAGAGTTCCCATAATGTGTATTCTTTTAATGTTGTAAGTCACAGTAAATTTATATTTTGAAAATTATCAAGCTTCAGTTGATGCTGTTGGACAATCTTTGTTTCCTCCCCACATCTTGATTAATGGCACAAAAATGACTGGTCAACAATTTACATGGTTTGATAGTTTTAAGGTTGATATCTCCTAAAATGTACATTGTGTTTTCTTCAGAAAAAGTGAGCATGAGAAAAGTTGCTATGATAATGAGCTGCCTTGTAAACAAGTACAAACAATTTTAGATCTTTGAGTGACTAAAATGTGTAAGAAACTATCATCTTCATCAATATACCTTCAAAATAACTGGAGGTATCAGTGTATGCTGAATTTATTATAGTAGTATGATTCAGTCAGAAATTCTCTGTGAAAAACTTACATGTGTTAAAAAAAAGGCAAAATTCTTTGAAATATGCCCAAAAATTTTGGTTAAATTATTCACAGTAGTTGGCTGATTCTGATTGAACATCTTGGTATTCAAGAAAGAAAAAAAAACTTACTGATTGTTCATCAAATATTCACATACAAGAAATACTGAAATAACACAAGACATTAGAAAATGTCATTTTTATTATATCATAAATCAAGCTCCATGAATTTCAGAAATCTGTAGATGTTTAACCAAAATGCAACAATAACAGTTCATTTGGATCATGGAAAGCTGGATTCATTGTGACAACAGTAAGATACAATTATCCTATTAAGTCACATACGTGAGAGATTACGAAGCTTTTATATAAATTTATGCACTAAGCTTTTCATTAAATACACAAGATTGCATACGAAATAACAATACAACTTTTACACACACTAGTCAACAATCACATTCACGCTTTCACTGATAAATGTTACCTATCTTATTTCACAAACAAAAAAAGTCTACTATCCATATTTATACAAGACATTGCTTGTGGTACAATTAAGCATTTACTCAATGACATAAAAAAAAAAAATAATGGCTGTGAGCAATAGCTCAGTTAACCATCTGTATTAGTTTTATCTTGCACCAGGCTAATGTTTGCCATACGTCAAAAGACAAGTGGGACACTCCTGTCGAATATATGAGATAGGCTATGATTTAACTTCTTTTGCAGGAGGGCCATCTCCTGCATTGTCTGCCTTTCTCTTCCTGTTTTGGTTGTAGCCACCTCTTCCACCACGGCCGCCTGTAAAAGGAGAAATTACAATATGGGAAATGTAATATTTTATGTGTACTTACAATTACTGTATTTTCTATAGTAATAATATGTTAGCTGTTAACAAGATATTTAAATTGCATTTGTTGGACACTGGTACCTTGTTAACAATATTTGTCAAGGGACCAAAAATGCTCACAGTATGCAGAGAAAACAAGTAACATAATTAAGCAACATCCCTCATTTTCCACACTCGGAACACTTTGATGTTAAAAATTTATTTGCATTGGCCACTACCCAGAACACAGTATTTCCCAGAATTCCAAGTAAGTTTTCAGTAGCTCTGGGCTCACAATCAAAATGGTCTGAAAAGATCCTGAATATACTCTCAAAATATCCCTATATACTGGTACAATTACTGCTGCGTTTAAAAATGCGTCAATGGAAAAACTTGACAACTACCAATAAACTTCCTAAATGGGAATGATAAATGAGTAAACAAGTAATTGAATGGAATGGGAATTAAAACCTGCTACTCTGGAAAACTTAACAAGAAAGTGCCAACAAAATTCCATTGCACTTGTAAAAGGATAAAGAGAAGTTACTAATAATAAAATGTACAAAGTAAATAATTTATTTTTTAAGGTGAAGTACAGGTACTATTTTTCAATTCATGCTCTTTATGTATATTGATTTATCCCTATATTATTAAAATATATCATTGTGAAAAAGTTCTAATTAATTTTAACATCAGATATAGTGAACCTCTAATGTAATGAACCAAAAATGTTAGTAACTAGAAGTTCACTACAACCAGAGTCGACAGTACAAAGGAAAGTGAACACTAAAAATGTATGAGGGGACACAGGAGTAGTACTTCAGCTCCCATTTCCAATAATTTTATGTTACCTATCCCACTCACTATTACTGTCTTCTCATGATTCACTTCTTGAGTTCAGAGTTGACAATTTTTTCCCCAACATTCCTCGAGGCATACTACTCACCTCCACGACCTCCTCTTCTTCCTCTAAAGTTTTGCCTTGCAGCATTCCGTCGTTTTAACATTTCCGACATGGCATCCTTCAGGAAAGTCTCTTCCTCTTCTCCCTCTACTATACGAACTTCTACAGAACCTTCTTCCAGCACCAATTTATTGTCTTCTAGCTTCTCTACAAGCTGAACAGAAAATAAATAAGCATAAAGTTGAAAAATTGCATTACAAATACACTTAGTTCCGTGCACAACAGATTTTGCACACTCGTTTGACATTTGGATTACAACCAAATTACACAATTAAAACTGATGACTTGTAAAAGAATTTTAATTTTCTAACCGATTTTGCAGCATTTTCCTCTTGCATTCGAACCCAGCCTTCTTCTTCACCTTTAGTGTAATTAATAAATGCAACTTTATCTCCCTTTTCCTCCAGCACTGCCTTCAATGCCTCCCTTTCAATATTTCCGAAGTTGCCTTTAAGGTGCAACACTGTACCTCTTGGAAAACTTTTAGCCTCTTGTTCCTGCACAATGGAAATTATTTACATTAACCTTCAATATAACCAACGAAAAACAATGATAACACAATTTCTCTATTGTAGCCACATACCTGCTCTTCCTGTTTGACTCCTTCCTTCTGTGGCTTCGGTTTTCGTTCAGATTTTTTCTTTTCCAAGTAGTCGGCTCTAAAACAATTTTATTTAATTGTTAAAATTAATATGGCCTTGAGGCTAAAATTATTGGAATACTTTAGCATTATCTCACTAAATCTACCAAATTCCAACTTGATTTGCTTCAATTCATTTTTTAATTACTTTAAATAGTAAATTATATTATTTTCCTCTGCAAAAATTTATTCTTATAACTTATTTCATTTACTTGTACTTGATATTATTAATAACTATATTAAACCATTCACAGCATTGTGGATCTGATTTTATTAAAATTCTTAATTTCATGTAATTCCATAAATGTTAATGAGCTTTCTGAAAAACCTTGCTCAATTTTCAAATATACTCAATTTGATCATGTTTTAATAATGAAGTAAATAATAGAACTTACTGCCATAGCCTTAAAAGGGGAGTTTCTCCATACTTTACTTCTTCCATCTTTAAGAACTCTTCTGCCTTTTCTCTGGTTGAAAATATAATGAAGGCAGATCCCTTGAAATTGGAAGATTTTGTCTTCTTGTCATGATAGTATCTCATCTGTCAGACAAAAAACTATGATAATTCAGAAATCTATCAGAATATTTTGAAGATTTGAAGGAGAGATGTCCACTTACAATGACAGAATCCACTTTCCCATATTTCTGAAAATACTCTAGCAGATTGTCCAGTGAAGAGTCTTGAGGAAATCCTTTACAATAGACTGTCTGAGACATCAACTCCTTTTTTCTTTCCTCTGTCTGCTGAGGAAGTACTTTGTCTGGACTTCGCCTGATCTTTTTCTTATCTTCACTAACCTATTAGTTAAGATCAAAAATCAATAAATTAAAGTTCTGTGGAGAGTCTAAAGAGAATCCCAACATAATAGAGGATGGCAACTGAAATCTGGAACTTTTACTCCACAAACATGGTCAAACTGTTTAACATACCTCGATCAAGCCATTGTCAGACTTGCTAATTGCTGTTACAATAACATCCAAATCTTTGCTCAAGTTTGCTAATCTTTGAAATTTCAGCATAATTTCCAGAGGAATCCAACCATCATCCAATTTAATCTGATCTTGAAGGAACTTGTCTCTTGGCAAGTTGATGTCACCAAAGTAGTACTAAAAAAGTAAATTTAACTTGTTATTAAAAGTATTCATATTATTCTCACAATTAATAATTCCCTAAAAAGAACCCTGTATAATACCATAAACAATAAATAAACATGAAAATATTCTATCAATGCTACTCATATTGTAGAAACTACTAACAACAAATATTTCTGAATTCAAAAAGGTACTACGGAACTCTATTACAGCAATTCTGAGCATGTTTTGCTCAGAATTAATGCCCATAGCAAAGTAGGCAACTTTGACAAAAATCAGCAAAAAGTAGTTATTAACTAAGTAGTTATTAACTAACTAACTATTAACTAAGTTATTAACTTAGTTACGAAGTTGCCTCCAATATCTCCAGCTCTTTTATAATGTTCACATAAATAATACTTATTTCATGGCAACAAAATCTAAAATACCCAACTACATTCAAGGCAAATAAGGATGGCAACTTTTTCTGGTTTTTCTTGCTGTTCTTTAATCAAATTGACAAGTATTGCTTAAGCTATAACTAAACTAATATACCAAAGAGATTGGAGGATTAAAACATATCATGTTATAGTCGTCTCAAAAATTTTATTGCAATTTAGACACCCTTTAACAACTAGATATTTAGGTTCCATGATTTTATGAGTAGCAACGATGAATGTGAATGACGGAAAACTAACAGAAGAAGCGGTAAAGAAAATCTCAAGAAAACCTGCAATCCACAAAAACAGAACTTTCCTTTCCTGGAGAAGACACTAATAAAGTTAAAATTATAATGAATAGTGAAAACTTGAAATAAATTAATCGTTTTAATTGTTTAATATAGGGTGTATCATATTATAATTCAAATGATTTGGAAGAGAAGCTACATAAATGCCAAATTATTGGTACATTAGGCACTAAAGTTGAAGCTGATATTATGACATCCTTTCTGTGTAATAAGCATACAATCACTTTGATATTGCTCAGGAATGTTGGCCCTCTCACAATGAGATTTGCATACATTAGACATGCAAGTCCATTGCCAGGTTATAAATTAACAAATATAAGAAATTAAAATACCCATGGAAATGTCATCAATGTGCGAAATTATAAATAAAAGTTAGCAAAAATTCTTCTCCCATATTTAAAACGGACATACCTCACCAGAACATAAAACAATTACACAATAAAATATACTCTCGTGAAGAACTTACTTCAATTTGTCTGATTATCTGTTTCTCTAAATTACTGGCTTCCTTGATGTCTTCTGTTTTAACATTATTGACTTCTGTTGGGTCTTCTGTTTTAGCATTACTGGCTTCTTTGGAGTCTTCTGTTTTAATTGCCACTGGCTCTGCCTCAGCTGTTGATTTTTCTTCCATTTCTATATCCTATGGAAAAAATATACCTTTCATTAAATTCAAGTTGAGCACACAAGCTACTTTCAACATTTACCACCCAAGCTGAAAAAATTGCTCCACATGCCAAAGTAATTCATCAGAATAACTTACGTTGCTTATTTTTTTAGGTGAAACTTCAGACTTCTCTTCTTGTTCCTTCTTCACAGCACCATTAACTTCAACTTCAGCCATCCTGCAACATCACACACAATACATTAAAATAGCGAAACTGTAATGCGACTAAAAATCTTATTACGTTTGTAAGTGGAAGTTAGAATCACTTTACCAGGGAGAAGGTAACCGGCTAACCAAATTAAAGAACTCTACACCAAAAGTTTGTTTCAAAAATTCAAAATACTTAAAACATTCATATGCAACGCTAAGGGGTGACCAATATGTTTTCTTATAAAATGTAACACGAACTATTCGACAGACAGAAGATATCAGCAATGAAAAAACGTGGTGGTTACAGCATCCGAGTTCCCGCTTTCTTAACTATTAATAGCTCATGATAATATCAGTACTATACACTTGAAAGAAGGAAAGATTAGCAACAAAAATACAGTTTATAATACAAGCCTTACTCACCTTTACGTACTTCCTTCTAAAGTTTTCGGCACGTGGTTCGCTACAACCACTCTCTACCCTCCGGGAAAGCTCAGGAACTTCTCTGGACCAACTTCAGCGTGTGGTCTGTGATGTGACCAACGCCACCAATGCGACCAACGCGACGAATGCTTCCTGTCGCCGCCAAAATACTCATGGAGTAAATAAAACGGACTTTCGGGTAAAGCAAAGAAATTTCAACAAACATGCCTTTCAGTTAGTGTATCTTGATTGGTATGGAGTGCGCACGGAAGTCAACGAACTAGAATATAAAAAAGTGCATAAAAATATAATTAAATTTCTTTGCTATATTCTGTCACTGTTTTAGTTCTTTTCTTGTATTTTTGAATATATAGTTCAAACTGTTCACCACACAGTTTTCACTTATTGGTTGGTACAACTGGTAACCTGATACAATTGTACCAAATATGTAATATGAACAAATTAGCACCGGTTATTGCACGTGGCTGCAGGTAGAATACTATAAAGAATTGTTTCAGATTTGCGCGGGTGTAGAATGCTCATGAGATCCGAATTATGAACGGATGAGTGTTCAAAAACTGGATTATTATTTTGTTTTTTGTAACATGGCGCACCGGGGCCTGTCTTACAAGATTTACATTTTTTTAAAATTAGTTGATGCCAGTAAATACTGAACTGAAATATTTGTTGTTTAATATATTTTTTTTCAATTTTTGATATGTTGCAACCTATAAAGCAAATTCTAGATTCGCAGCGAATTGTTCTAGCAAGTACTTCTCCCAGAAGGAAAGAGATTTTGACCAATCTTGTAAGTACTGATTAATAGTTTGTAAGAAATGTTTCTTCCCGGGTTTTATATTTATAATGAGGTTTCTTTCAGGGGTTGAAATTTGAGGTATGTCCTTCATTGTATGATGAGAAAAATTTAGATCCCAGCAACTATCCAAGCCCTTCAGCGTTTGTAGTTGACACTGCGTTTCGTAAAGTAGAAGAAGTTGCAAGAAGGCTTGGTAATAGTAATAATTCTTCCACACCTGATTTAATAATTGGAGCCGATACTGTTGTGTCATTAGAAGGGATAATCTTTGGGAAACCCGACAATGAAGATACAGCATTTAAAATGTTGAAACAGTAAGAAAATTGTAATTTTTCTGAATTTGAATGTTACATTATTTTGTTCATAAAAGTTTTTAAACTTTTCACTTTGCCAAATTTTTTATCAAACGCTTTTGTTTATTGTTAGACTCAGTGGAAGACATCATGAAGTGTATACTGGAGTAACTCTTATGTACCAACAGAAAACTGTGAAATTCTTTGATAGCACTAAAGTATATTTTTCGTCAATGAGTGATGAAACTATACAAAAATACATTGAAACAGGAGAGCCATTGTAAGTGTTAATAACCTATATTTTATTTTAATGTAAATATTTCAAAACATTCATGAATATTTTGTGAAATAGGGATAAAGCTGGTGGCTATGGTATTCAAGGACCAGGTGGCAGCTTAATTGAGAAGATAGATGGAGACTTTTATACGGTTATGGGACTTCCACTTCATAAGCTATGTAGGCATATTTTAGAGTTGTATAATTCTTAGTTGTTATCAATATCATTGTAATATTTTTCTTGTGTCAATTTATGTTGCTGATTTATGTATACTCAGGTACTTACTGAGTTAGCATTCTTGATATTTCTAAAAATCTTCATTGTATGAATGTAAATTTGAATTCACCCTATCTTAATGTAAATTCGATTGAATGTGTAATGTGCATTATCAGGAGGTAAGAATGTTAATGTCTGTGGGGATTAACATTTGTGTTGACTATTTGTATGTGTCAATTATTTTTAAATTTATTATTATAAGACCTACAAGAACTCATGAGACTGTCCTGAAGAACATTGATTCTATATTGCATGAATATCCTCCCAGTTATAACACGTAGGCAGAAGCAAATGTGGAAAAAGCTTACAATGAGTGACCTGAACTCTCTAGAAAGCATAAAATCAAGGATCCTAAACAGCTCTATAGGCATTTTGATATTGCATGATTCAGACTAGCATAGGAGCTGGGGCAGGAATCCTTCCTCATAGGTTACCGAAGATGCCAATTGCAACTGCCATCTACCAAAGAAATATTAAGTACCAGAGAAACCAGGCAGAAATCTGAATGTATAGCCTATTCTATGTACCAAAAGAAATTGGATCAGACCTGGCTATGAATTGAGAGGCCCAATTCAGAGTGCTAAGCATGACTTCCATCACAGACCAAGAAAAATGTCCACAACCCATTGGAGGGGTGCTACAGATGTGCTGTACAGAAAACTGTAATAAATACCACTTCATCAGATGCAAAAGAACAATACCTTTAACTGAATGTGTAAAAACAAATTGAGGTATTTTTGTGTGTTCTTCCATTATTTTCATTCATTCATGATGAGTACCTTTTAATTTAAAATTTAAAAAATTTAACTGTTTACCTTTTAAAAGCAGGTCTTAAGAGAGAAAAAATTGAATGTGTAAGATGTTTTTCTTTTTACTTAAAAGAGAATGTATGAATGTTTGTTTTGTATACAAATCTAGTTTCATTATGGCACACTTTCAAAAACGAGGAATGTTATTGTGCACCCAAGATTTGGAATAATCTAAATTGCACCTCCCTTTTCCACACTCCAGACAGCACAATATAAGTACTCATTGTCAGTGGATTTTAGATATCTGGAAAATAGTGAGGGAAGCAGCCAAAGTCGAGTGAATTTTTGAGAGCCTGTACATACTTTTGGATTAAGCTCCAATCGAAGTTTAAATTCAGTTCCTACCTATCACTTTCCCAAAAAGTGTTATATTCTGTTGTATATGTTTTGGCTATGCACAGAGGAGTGGTGCCCACAGAGTACAGTTAAATCAGGAACAGATGCATGTGTGGGAGAGATGAGAAGCCTTGGAAATAAAATTACAATTGTATTTCTAATTTACCCTTTATAGAATTCATTCATTTTCCTCACTAATAGGTGATTGTGATAAATACATGGGTAATGCTGGATTACTTCAGCTAATGTAAAAGTATATATATGTGAAATTTCCTAGTTTAAATATCAATCGAAAAGGTAAATAGTGCATACTGTTTAACTGGAGAGGTTTTTTCAAAAGTTGTCTGGTTTTCTCTCGCTGTTTTGCAGCAAGTTTTAAATTAAATAAATTGTAAATTGTGATAGTCTATATCTGGAATAGCAACTTTCTGGAAAATGCAGGAAAAGTGCCGTTTCATTGATTTGGAAAAGTCTGGTAAATCGGAATTTTGAGAAGAATTGGTACAGTGTTGCCGGTTGCAACTACACGTTAGTATAGTTATTTATGTCTCTTTTCTTTTTCTTTCTTTAATCATTGAATCTCACAAGATTTCCTCTGAATCCATTAAAGTATTATTTTTATTCCACCTAAGTGTTATTTTTAGCAAAATTCTCAACTCTTTTTACTTTGTCGCACTATCGTGAGAATAAATGTTGTAATCGTGCGCCGGATAACTGCGAATTTTCGACACAAAAACCATTATTGCCGGGCTGTGGCAACGAAAGTGGATAAATCTAGTTGCTAAATGTAGATAAAATCTAACACGTGGTGTAGCGAGAATCCATGATTTGTGCATCCTTCATACCAAAAAATCGATTGACCGCAAAACGTTCGTTCGTCTAGCTAGCTCTAGCGCATAAACAGTTTGACAGATTTTCTCCAAAATTGATATACCCAATCATTCGGCTGGTGTCGCGCCCCCTGGAATTTGAAACCAATATTTTAATTCTTTTTCGGGGGAGGGGGTAATCTATTTAAAGCCCTTTGGGCATTAAAAAATTGGTCAAAATTGTTTGATTAAATTTCGTTGTATAGTGCGAAGGATGTTTAAGAGAATGGTGCAGGTCTAATTTTCGTTGAGATCTCTGATTTTTCGAAAACTGCTACCACAAAAAAGAAAAAAGATTAAAACTACAAAATTGAAGGTAAAACATTTATGCCTGAGACAAGGTCTATTGTTAAAACTCAGTTGTACAAAATCAGCCCTTTGAAAAGTTATGTATGATTTTATTTTTACTGTTGGTTTTTGATACTTTGCGCTTGAAATTATCGCTTTTTTTTCCCTCTAAACTGCCCCAAATTTTCAAACCCTGTAATGGATGGTAAAAAAATATGGTGCTAGTTCCATTTTCGGGCATTTCTCGTTTGTTTGTTTTTAACAACATTCGGAACTATAAAATTGAAGATAGAGATTTTTGCATCAGACAAAGACAGTTGTACAAAATTAGCTTTTCCGTTGTACTTAACGACAACGTAATATTGCGAGGAAGTGTGTGCTGTTGTGGCTCCACTAATTTTAATCATGAAATCAGAGATGGACAGAATTGAGACAGGTACCTTAGTATTTTTATTTGATTTTCTTTAAGTGTGTAATTCACAGTTTTTTTGGGGGGGGGGAAAGTGCACTGGAAAATAGGAAAAGTCATCAAAAGGGATCAGTCACTAATTTAAAAGCATAGGTTCAAAAAAGGATGAATAATTTGTATGTTATCTATTTTTGATTGTCTCAATAGTTTAAATATGGGAAGAAATCTTTATCTTGGGGTGATGGCAGTGTTGGAACCGTGGTAAAATAATTTTAATTGAGGGACGAAAAAAATATTAAGCACCAAAATATTGGTAATTTTTGTTTTAGAAAAAAGTCGTCTCCGGTTACAGTGAAATTTTCACAGTTCCGTTTAACTTACATTACCTATTAGCATACGAAGATTCGGTGTGAACCTGAACCTTGGTTACAGGAAATACAATGACCTGAAATTAATTCCCTCTTGGAAAATACTATATTGCCTCATTAACACAAATTCCAACACTAGGGAGCTTCATAAAAATATCGACCAAAGGTTATAATCGAAGTCTCCCCTGAGGTGAACGAAGCGGTCCCGGAATGGAGACCTTGCTGATGATCTCATGCCACTCAGTTTCAATCTTGAAGTTACGTGAAATTCCTCAGGTCAAAGCGCGTTATATTCTACGTACGCTACAGGAAGCACGCGACTTTTACAGCCTCCCGATACTCGAGGTGCCGAGCTGAAATGCGATCAGTTTCATTAGCCGCTACCGAAAGGATCTTATATGTTATTAGGCGAGTGAAAGGGCCTTCGAAGATGCCCGAGCTATTGAAGAATGCCAAGACTGTATTACGATACTTCGAGACAGTGGACAATGCAGGATCAAGTGTGGCGAGAGCACGAACTCGGGAGAAGGTACGAGAGAAATTCGTGATGAAAAATGTACGAAGCAAACAATTGATTTTTAAGGATAAACATAAAGATGGAATTTCAGTTTGTGGTGTTAATTGTATCGTTCTGTGTAATGTATCGATTATTGGTGTATAATATATTACATACTAATAGATATATATACTATATATAGCTATACAGCACATTATTACAAACACAATCCTGTGACGATTCCTATTAATTTTTACATTCGGGAATGTAGTGAACAACAATGTTAGTCCCGAGAAGTTCACTATAGCCGGAGTCGACTGTAAGTATTTACTTTAAAATATTGTAACTAGTGATACAAAAAAAATAGTTAATCTGTTACGATATTAATATAGTTGTCTTCACAGTACACATTTATTTTCAGTTTACAAGGTAGAGAAAGAAACTACACGTGTACAAATAATTTACGTGAATGTTGCTTTCGTTTCTATTAACAGTTATTTTTTGGCATCATTTTTATTATATTTTCATATCTGTAGTGAAACTAAATATTCATTTTCCTTGAGTTATAAAAAAAATATGCACCCGAAACTTAATATTTGGCTTTATCTGCAATGCGTTATTTAATAAACAAATAAAATAGTGGAAATAGATCTTCGAACCCTATTTTGAACTTAGTTGTCCCATACGCCGAGAGAGTGCATCATTTATGTGTAAATGTTTCTCCTAGATGGCAGCACAACGAACACTCATTACAGCTCGTTCGTTGATGATAATCTTTACGGTTTCTCAAATCGATCTGAAGTAGTTTGATTGTAGTGGTTTTGGACAGGAATCCCGTCTTGTTATATATTATTTAGGTAGCATTGAATGTTAAGACTACACGCGAAGATGTCACAAACACGATGACCGACTGTCAATAGGCCTGATGATTTAGGTGGCATTGACTGAAGTTTGTGCCACCTCGAACGATAAAGTTATCGATAGCACTATCAATATCAATAACGGGTGGAATCGAGAAAGAGCTTTTGCACGGTTTGTCGAAAACGTGAAAGACGCAAGAAGTTCCAAATTGTGGCAATAGAATGTGCTGCTACAGTGAAATCAGCTGTTCTGTCATAGATCATACATGGAGGAATATAGAATAGGAGGGGAAACGTGTGGCACCACTACTAAGTAGTAATAAGTACTAGTAATAAGGTACAAGAGTTAAATCGACAACACTGCATTCTGTGGCCAGAATGTGTATTTCTTGAGCGTTGAATCAGCACCCTCGGCTAATTTTGCGCCTATTTAAAAATAAGAAAATAATTGGGGTTGGTGATTATAAAAAAACAAACGTGTGTTTATAGTATTCATAAAATATTCTAAAAATAATTTTACTTATCTCCCAGGAAGATATGAAATTCGAGGATGAAATGAATGGTAGAAATTTCATAAGCTCGCACTGCTTCCTGACAAGCAAATTTTCGAAGTAGCATTTGAAATTATGCGTGAACCTTAAAATATATTCCGCCGCATGAAAAGGACGCTAGCGAATCCTCATGTCCATAATCTCAAACTGCGAGAGTTTCCCCTCCTATTGCATATTCGTCCATTGACTATATATCATTACTCTGTGGTTCTGTTCATGTTACTTCATTTGGGACTTTTTTAAATTTTCATTTCTTGTATATATAACATTTGATAATAAATTAATTAACATTAATAATTATTATTAACATTTTCACCCAAATCTTACATACATATCTTATATACAAATATCTTTACATATTATTACCAGAATTCTTATATAAAATATGTAAAAAGAATGAAGTACATATGTGAATTTAAATATGTAATGTTTTGGATAACAAAAGGAACCAGAGCAGAATGATTGTGAGAAAAACAGCTAATTTTTTTCTTTAATGAAATTTGTTTACCAAGGTATTTACTATTTTGCTAACATTGTAGAATCATAATATTTTCTTCACACAAATAATGTGCCAATTTGTCTACACTGGCAAAGTACATATGTTAAGATCCTCGTAATGGTGTATGACAAGACCCACTTTCATTAAATACAGAATTCACTATTCCATTGCACCCCTGGTAGCCACGTATTAGAGTTCTAGGATTAACCAAACTTAATTAAGGTTTATGGGTGTGGTTTAAGTCAAGTAATCCAAACTTTTGGTAAAATTGTAAGCAAGTGAAGAAATGCAATTAACTAAATTTTAAAACAATGATCCTCTGAATACCAATTTATATAATTTGTCCCACTAACTAGAAATGATTCAACTCTCTTAAGTTTTTAAAATTGTATTTCATTTATATGACATTTCTTCTTCTGCGATAGTAATTCACTTTGACCTAACCAATTAATTCACTACACATTTTACAGACTTTCACTGATACTTTTTTGTGAAGCCTTTACTACGTATCCAATGAATTACTGAACTGACGATGATTTTGGGCAATTGTGTCCGTGAGGTTAGTAAATGGCACTCATTTAGCACTATTCAAACTAATTAAATCAGTTGACTAACACGAAAAGACAGGGAAAATAGCACCATGGAAATCTGGTAGCGGAACCTGGCTGGCCCCTCTAACACTTTCGATACAGTTCGATTTCGAGCTGGCGCATGCGCAGAGACTCAAAAATATGGTCGATTACTTTCCGCTAAGGCTGAAAGGCCTCCTTAGTAGGGGGGTTTGTGCCACCTCGAACGTAAAACCACTATCGATCCTCTGCCCATTTTGTTCGGATGATCCGAAGTTTCGGATTTGCGGGGTTCCGATTAGCGAGGTTCTACTGTACATTTATTTAAGAGTATAATAATTGTGTATTGATCATACAGATCAGTGCTTCGTGGTCTAGTTACTGCCAATCTTTCAACAGAATGTGATTTGGTGACTATTTCACTTAGCTGCTGTCAATTGATTTAACGCTTCGAGGTGCAGAAATTACCTATAGCAATCGACAGCAATATCGATATGAGCACTTCCAGTTTTGCATCATTTGTGCATCTGCGCATGTGCAGAAATTCGATATTGCAGTCGATTGATGTATACTGTACATTCCAAAATTCAGAAAATTAGTTTATAATAAAACTTCAGCAATTCATGAGAATTAATTAAAACCATGTGTAATAGAGATATATTTTTAAACATTAATTTTGCGCGCGGTGTCCGTGT